GTTCTCAAGAGACTCAGAGGTCTCTGAAGGTTATTTCAGCCTTTCGCTCTCCACATCTGGGGACCTTCAGATCCTGTGGTTGACTCTGGGAAATAGGTTTCTATGGTTCATGCTGTCATCTTTCCTAGATGAAAAGCCCTACCATCATCACAATACCTTAGTTTTTTTACACAGCACAGTGTCAAAATGTGTCCTGCAAACAAGTCCAAAGAGGATCTGAGAGGGTTACACTTTATGGAATTGTTATTTTTATTTCATGAAAGAAAATTTAGTGTGTATTATACATCAAATATTATGTTAAGTATATTAACTTGTGTCATTTTTTTTCTTAGCACAGTTTTTTACAGATCTTATTTATATTTGTTGGCAAACTTTGTCTTTTTTACTATTTAATACCTTGTTCTCCCCTTCTTTTTTCTTAATATGATTTTGTTGTTGTTTGTTTTTTGTATTTTGTTTTTTATGAGACAAGGTCTGGCTATGTAGTTCAGGTTGGCCTGGAACTCATTATGTAGTTCAGGGTGGCCTCAAACTTGTGGGGATCCTCCTGCTTCAGCCTCCTGAATGCTGTTGTAGGTGTTCACTACCACACCTGGCTTGTAAATATTGTTAATAAATTGATTATTACAGCCCAAATAAACATTAACTTTACTAACATTTACATTTTTGTTTTACTAGCTGGTAAGAGCTTATAACTTCTCCTCAAAATGGAACTTTACATCCTAACTGAATATATTTTTAAGACTGGTGTAAATTGTTTCTCATTTAAAAGTTACAATATAAAACATTTACAGCTAGGTTTTTTTTTAACACTTTGGTCATGAAATTTAAAAAAAATTTAAGCCATTTTATTGTTTCACTTTGGAATCTAAAAGATTATTTTAATTTTTTTGATTTAGGAATTTAGCTCTATATTATGAATGATCTCATTTACCTAAAGTACTATTGTATATGTTATCAAGTCACCTTGATTCTGACTGTAATTTTATTTCGTGAATCTTTACCTTGCCTATATTGTTTCAATTTTAATTGTCCTATCTTATTTATTTAGTTTGTGAGACTGGATCTCACTGTGTAATTCAGGCTGGCCTTGAACTCACTATGTAGTTTAGGCTGGCCTTGAACTCCTGGCCATCCTCCTCCTTAAGCCTCTCAAGTGCTTGGGTTACAGGTTTGTGCTACCACGCCCAACTGATTGTCCTGTTTTAAAACAGCTAAGAGTTATAAAGCTTAAGAACTGTTTCCTTATGAATCATAAATGGGATCTTTCTTTTCCTTTTAAGGGACATAAATAAGGGAGCATGCCTCTTTTAAAAACCTTATTAACTTTGGAGATTCTGCTTCCTATCTTAATGTTGGACTACTTTTAAAATACTAGTTTTGTTTTGGTAAAGGTCTTTTTATGTGTCTTTAGTGTTTCTAAGCATGCCTTTAATTGAATGCTTGTTGAACTAAGCACCTATGGAATACTTATATTTAATGACTGATTTAAATTCATGCTACCTTTGGGAGGGGAATGAGCTGAGTATTGAACCCAGAGCCTCCATACTGAGCTACATCATTAGTGGTTTTTATATTTTTATTTTGAAACAGGCTGTCCCTAAATTAGTTGCCCAGGCTGAGCTCAAATTTGGCAGTCCTCCTGTGTCAGCCTCCTAGATCATCATGTCCAGGTCTAAATATGTACTACCTCTTGAATATAATTACATAATTTAATGGGAATTCCTGTTAAAAGTCTTAAAATTCTGGGCTCTTCCGTAAACCCCTTACACTGCTTATTTAGTATTCTCCGATATATGAAATAAATTTCATATACTGGTCCATTTTTCCCTTCCAAATTGATAACAGCAGAAATTAGAAGAAAATCTCAACCTTTTTCACTTCCTAATTAAAAAATAAAGTAACTTTTCACCTTTCTACTTATAAAGCTTATTTGTCTTGCTGGTTCATTAAAGTAAGAGTATATCATTCATGAAACAGTTTAATGTTCTTGGCAGGTACAACTTAGTTTTTTTCCTCTTTAGAAAAAAATCATGTTGAGCCTTCATTAATGAACCTCATTATTGTGCTCGCTTCGGCAGCACATATACTAAAAATGAACCTCATTGTTATTATTTAGTTTAAGAAATTTGCCATTTGTATTGTATAGCTATAGACTAACCCCAGCCTCCCACAGGTTCTCCTATGTTCCCCAGGCTTGTCTTCAATTCCTGAGTTCAAGTGATCCCCTTGCCTTAGCCTCCCTAAAAGTAGCACTATAGGCATATCACTATACCTGGTTTACATGGTTGACATCCTATTAAAAGTTTTGCATTGTGTTTGTTTCCAAACTCTTACTGCTCATTTTAGTTACCAAATGTTATGTGCTTGCTTTGAGCCTTCTATCATTGAATGTCCTTTCAGTCAATGTTACTGAAATTCTGTTTTACAGGATAGTTGTTTTGGAAAATATAGTTTTTGCCTTCAAGAGCATTTGCTTTGAAAGGGTTAATGATAATTGTGTGTCTACATGTATTTCAGAGGCTCCAAACAAAAATTTCCACACTGCTTACTAAGAATTTCTAAAGGATTAGTGATTTTGTTTGAGACCCTCTAACCCTGTTGGAAACAATTTGATAGGGTTTTTGTGTGTGTGTGTGTTTTGGGGAGCCATACTGGGGGGATGCTGGGCCTCCTAGGGCCCATGCATGTTGGCAAGCACTGCACCACTGAGCTACAGCCTCAGCCCAGTAATTTAATATTTGTGCTGTTATGAACCAGAAGGGTTAAGTGTATGTATGCATCACTAAAGAGCTTAATAGTAATTGGGTGGATCAGTAGAGGCCTGAAAGCCTCTACCTTATGATCAAGATGGTCATCTTCTGGCATTGGTTCACCAAACAGGACTTGCTGGAGATGTAGCCAGTTATAAAGCATGTTCTTAGCATGTGTGAAGCCTGGGTTTGATCCTCAGCACCACAAAAACAATAAAAAGGAAAAATCCAAAATTGTATGGATATCTGTAAAGAAACTTTTTTTATTTTATGCAGTGTAATTATAATCATTACAAGGAGTAACTATTGAATAGGGAATATAAAATTATATGCATCTATCATAGGTATTATGCAAAAATAGGCCAAGGACTTATGATCTTTAGAGTAGTTAAATTTTGAGCAACTTTTAGGTTATTTATGCCAGGAAAAAGGTAATAGGGTATATAAATGGATATTTTAAAGTAGTGTTGAAAAAGAAAAACCATGTTAGGTCAGTTTGATACACTTCTCAGATTTCATTTGAGTTTCTAATCTGATTAACAGACTAGGGAATGTGCCTTTTTGTAATTCTTTAGAATCTGTACTTCTCTTGTGTGTTTCATTCAGTTAAGAGAAAAATCTTGTTGGATTTTTTGATTTAGTTAATCGCTTTTATTTGTTCTATACCAAGACCAGACAATGAGAAATTGAAAGATATATAGTATATACTTAAGAAGAATGAACACATGTTTTGTTTTGTTTTGGTTAAAATTATTTTTGCCCTTTTCCTTCAAAAGAATTATTCTTAGTATGCCTTACCTTTTCCCCCTTTCCACATTTTAAAATTATTTTGTCATTTTGGGAATATCTAGTGGTTCTTAGGGAAATTAGTTCAGTGTGGGATGATCTTGAAACTATAGCGTAAATAATGTTTATTTTTTGGAGTAGATTATGTGTTCAAAACAGAAGGTAGTAGGGCATGAGGGTGCATCCTCATAATCCCAGCAGTCTGGGAGCCTGAGGGTGGAAGATCATAAGTTCAAGCCCCATTGTGAAGGCTCTGGGTTTAATCCCCAGTACCAGGGTGGAGAGAGGGCAGAAAATGTTTCCGGTCACATTGTTTTCTGTGTCCTTAGCACTGAAAATGGTACATAGCATGTGGTGATACTATTTTTCTGTTTGCTTTGCTAGCACAGCGCTTTAGTTGCATTCATTTTCCTACAGATATCTCTTATATGTTTTTTATGACAGAGTAGTACTCCATTGCATGTAAATGCCGTATTTTATTTATCCATTCATCTGTTGATGGGCACTTGTTGATGACAGCTTCCAGGATTTAGCTATCAGGAATTGTGCTGCTGTACATATGGTTATGCATGTGTCCCTGTGGTAACTCTTTTGGGAAGATACTTCAAAGGGGAATAGCTGAATCAAATGGAATTTCTAGTTTTAAGTTTTTGAGGAATTTCCATGGTGATTTCTGTAAACTAGTTTACATTGCCACTAACACAGAAGGGTTCCTGTTTGCTCTTCATATCTTTCAATGGCAGTTTAGTTAAGGGGACAGGAATAATGAGACAGGAAAGTCTCTAGGTTTGAATTTGTTCCAGAGTGCGATGGAACATCTCTTACTGAAAGCAGCTTTCCAGAGTGAGATTAACAGTGTCTAGCTTAATGTATATTATCTCTAAATCATTGTAACAACTCATTCTTGTCCTTTTTCATGTGGAAAACTTAGTCTTACAGGTTAATCACCTTTACTAAGTGTTGGAACTACAGTTCAAACTCATGCAGTCTGACTTGCAGAGGAACTTCGTATACAGTGCTTTCTTGAGGAAGAGCACCTCCACAATCCTCTTGCCTTCCAGAAGCCCCACCTTTGAACACATGGGCCTTTAGCAGACATTTTTGATCCAAACCATAATACTTTATTCTGCTCCATCCCATGAAATGGATTAATCCATTATTGGAGTTAGTGGCATCATGATCCATTCACTTCTTTTTTTTTTTTTGAGACAGGGTCTCTATGTACTTCAGGTTGGCCTTCAAACTTGCCATCCTCCTGCCTCTGCCTCCGGAATGGTGGGATTACAGGTGTGCACCACCACACCTGGCCCATTCACTTCTCTAGGCCTCAACTCTGCACGTTGCTGCTTGGGGATCAGGGTATCAGGCCCTCAATACGAAAGTCCTTGGGGAACACTTCTTATTTAAACCATAACGGAACATTAATGTCACAAAGACATCTTTATCTTTTATCTGTCGTAGCTTCCCGTGATAGGCTGATCAGATGAAGTCACTGTGATTGAAGAATTGGTGTGGTGTTAAGAGTTAACCAATACTGATTAAAGTAAGTATATTTGATATACTTTATTTATAATTCACAGTGTTAGGGATTAAACTCAAGGCCTCACACATTCTAGGCAAGTGCTCTGTGCGACGGACCAGCCGTCACCAGTCGAAAGGTTCCTGAATGGGAGAAAGGAGCACTGAGAAAAGACAAAGAGACAGAGTCGGGAGGGCTCCCAAGACCGAGCAAGCAAGTTTACTTACACCTCTCTTTTATACACTCAGTGAGTTAGGTCATTAATCATGACCTTTATACAAAAAACACCTGTTTCCTTGTTTACCAGTTTTCGGAACATTCCCCGCCCTCAAGGGCTACTTTGTTTCTTGAGGTTACAGAACAGTCATCTTGTTTCTAAGACAACCTCTGAAGGTAAGCATCGGAGATGGCAAGGGCACGGTTCCCCATAACATAATCTCCCAACTATTTACAATGGAGGGTAAACTTAAAATGGAGCTTCTTTGGCTGACAGCGCTCTCCACAGCTCTGCTGCTTAGCTACATCCTCAGTCCAAGTACATGTATTTTAGGGAAGCTTAAGCCCGTTTCTGAGTAGGTCTTCTATTACTATACTTTGGCTTAGATTAATTAGAAAGTAATTTAGCTGTTTTAGGGGCAGAATTTGTGTGTTCTTTCATTTTCTCTAAATATTAGATTTATAAGAAGGCAAAAGTTATAAATGTGTATTTGTATTGGAACTTTAGGGGAGGAGTAGAGGGGTGGTAAGCAGGTTTTACTGTTCTGAATTTTTAGGAGAAAAGTGTCACTGGAATTTAAATAAAATTATATAATGGAAATAGTCTTCCTCTGTTTATCACACAATAATTTGTAATTTAAAATTTGATTAGCATATTCTGATTAATGTGAGTTACTTTTTGAATCTTAATTAGCAGTTTGTCTTTTTCCTATAAGACATTTATAAGAAATAAAAATACCAAACACAAAGATATTTCTGTTCTGCCCTAATGAGTGATCACAATATACTTGGTTATCACCAGTATTATAAATTAATTTTGAGTTTTGAAACATAGTGGTTTAAGAGCTTAAATTAGAATTTGCAGTTTCAGGAAATTATATATAAGGATACATATTTATACACAGAGGCCTGTGAATGTTCTGTATAGGAGTTAGGAGGCTGTTGTGTAAAATCATTTTATTTTTTTAAAATTTTCCAAAGCAAGACGTGATATGTTGCCATCAAATAGGCAGATGTAGTCTAGGCTCTTGTGTATGATGAGCAATGAATTGAAAATTCTACCCTGGGTAGCAAGTGGCAAGCAGCTACATTTATTGAAGATCAAAGGAGGTTGTGTTCAGGGCAAGTCTGTGCCGACAGAAAATGTGGCATGGACAGAAAAATGGTGCCAGAGTGACAGAAAAGGCAAGGCACTGCCCAGAGGTCACAGCCCACAGAAGCAGCAGCAGAACCCGCCCCTCCAATAAATTCAGGCTTTTGAAATTTTTTTTTTTTTGGTACCGAGGATCAAACTCAGGACCTTGTGCTTGTGAGGCAAAGGCAGGCAGCAGCACCACTGAGCTAAATACCCAGCCCAGGCTTTCGGAATTTAAAGGATGTGCACCTCAGCCCAGGTGCCTTCCCCTGCATCTCTAGATGTGATTGACAGTGCTGTGTTATCTTGGGCTCTCAACACACATGCCTGTCCTAGAATTCACTGTGATTTTGGCCGGGGATTTAGTTCCGTGGTTTCATCACCTGCTGTGCAAGCGCAAGGACCCGAGTTCGATCCCCAGTACCAAAAAAAAAAAAAAAAAGAATTCACTCTGATCTTAATTATATGCATGACATGTACAACGTATTTATGAACCCTTAGTGATGTGGGAGTAGGGTAAAGATGACTGAAGGTCAGGCATGTGGTCTCTGCTAGAGCATCAGAGATCTCAGTTTTTGTTATTTTTCTACTTATCAGGACAATGGAAGGAGGAATGACCTTAGCATGCTATTTTTAGAATTAAGTGGGTGGAAGAGAGAGACTCCCTCAGCTCCATTGTTTCTAATTACTAGAGCTACTTTTCTGGAGATACACTGGGACCATTTTCTGGCTTGAAATGAGCATGTTTCCCTTTTAGAATGAAAACCAATGAAACTGAAGATTTGTACTAGACACAGTGTTTGTCAACTGATGTGCTTCACATGAGGCAGTTAGGGGCTTCCATCATTTTCAGTGAGTGGCACTAATGCCACTTTTTTTCTTTTTTTAATAATGTGAACAGAATGTAAAATCTTAGAGTTAACTATGATTTTGGAGAAGGTCAGGGATTTGGAATCTAGAAATGTTCAAATATTCATCTTTCATGAATTTAGAATGAAAAGGTTAAAGAGTAAGTAGTATAGCAGAGAGCAGCACAGACGTTGAAGTTAGACTGCCAAGGTTCAAGTCCTGCTTCTGCCACTTAATGAGTTGGTGCCCTGAGTTGCTTCAACAAATTATGATGTAGCCACTCAATTCTCAATTTTCAACATTTCTTCCTCCTTCATTTTTCTTATCTGTAATATTTGAACAGTAATGATACCCATTTTATTATGGTTGTTATAAGGATTTTGTTAGAAAAGTGTATAAATTATGTATACAGTAAGCATACAGTAAGCTCTCACTAGGTGTTTTCTTTTTCTCCCTACTAGTAGCAGTTATTTAGATATGGTGGTGATAGCCCATAGCAAAGATTTTGATAGTATTTGATAAGTTAAATTGTGTTTATGTCTTTAGAACCTCAGAGAACAGCTGATATTTTGTGTGAGGTGTTGAAATGTGAATATGTAAGCCCTTCCACCAGAAAAAGGGTTACACTAAAGATAATTTGATAAGAAAAGAAGTCTTGGAGCATATAGCCAGAAAACTGGAAATGAGGAAATACTGTCTTCACGCCCAGGAACTCTATGTACAATCAGAATCATATGTGCTCAGGATGTTAGGAAAGCTTTGTTCCCATATAAAGCACACAGACAGCCTTGGTATTCAGAAATGTTGAAAGTGTTCTTCATGAACCGATGTTTGTGACAAGATTGGTAGGAGGAAATCTTTTCCCCCAATTTTTTTTTTTTGCCTTGAGTATACCCTCATAGTAATGAACTTCCTTCTCCTCACTCTGTTATTTGTAAAAATCAGGTGAGTAAAAATCTTATGTGATGGTTTGTTTCCCCTTTCCTCCCCCCATTTGACCATATTTGATCCAGATTATTTCTCTCTTGAATTCTCTTAGCTACATGCACTGTCCTGCTTTAAAATGCTTATGTGTCCGTACAGTCTTCACTTAACTCTCTTCTGGTTCCCTATATTACAGTATGGTTCCTTTATTTATCTTGAACCACTTCACAGTGCTCTGTAAGCATTTACTGTTACTATTTTTGTGGTACTGGGGATTGAACCCAGGGTCTTGTGCACGCTAGGCAAGTGCTCTGCCAACTGAGCTATAATCCTAACCCTTTTTACTTTTCTATTTTGTGACAGAGTCTCACTTAAATTGCCCAGGCTGGTCTTGAACTATGATCCTCCTGCCTCAGCCTCCTGAATAGCTGGGTTTACAGGCATATACAACTGTGCCTAGCTATTTTGAGGAGGGAGAATTGGCATGCTGAAAATGAGTAATTTCATGGATAAGGGGCCTGACTGGGAATCAGGATTTTTTGGTAGTGGATTAATGTTATAAAGTAATCTTAATACGAAAAGTGTCATAACCAGTGCAATAACCAGTGTAAGTACTATACATTGGTAGTCTTACTTTTGGACATAGAGTCATGGAGGACAGTTCCTAGAATTAAATTTGGTAGGGAGAATGTCTTTATTTAACACATACACCCACACTTATATTGTTAAATGCGAGTTTAAGTTGAAGAAAACCTCAATAGCTAGGCGTGGTGGCATGCACCTGCAATTCCAGTACTTGGGAGGCTGAGGTACAAGGATGGCAAGTTTGAGGACAGCCTGGGAACTCAGACCCTGTTTCAAAATAAGGCCAGGGCCTTGATACAATGGCATGTATTCATTAAAAAATACATATTTGTATATATTAAACTTGGAATTTTATGTAAGAAAATAAAACGATCTGCTTTGGATGGTAAGAATAGTATTTGGACTTATTGCTTAGTTACAGTGACGTGTGCTGCTCAAGTGATGAAATTGTTAAATTTGAGTGAGTAAACTCAATTCTAATGAAACTGGCTCTAGATCTATATTTATGCTTGTGATGTTAGTGTTTGCTATGCTTACCTCATTCTGTCATTAAAAAGTTAAAAAAAAATCTGCCATGCATTAAAGTGTTACACTTTTTATGTTGGAACTAGGAGATCGTGTTCAATACTTGAAACACCAGTCCCTTACTTCATTTACACCATCAGTGTAATGACCATATTGTCATTTATGAAACTATCTCATGAGAATATACTGAGTTAATGCTTTATTATATGTGATCACATATATGTCCCCAGCACAGGACTATGTAGCTTGATTTTTGGAGATAAAAAAACCAGGCATGGTGATGCATGCTTATAATCCCAACACTCAAGAGGCTGAAGCAGGAGAATTGCCCCAAGTTTCAGGCTAGTCTGAACTACAAAGCAAGACCCTGTTTCAAAAAATAAGTAAACATATTGAGGAGATAAAAAAAAAAAAAAGAAGCCAGTATACATTTGCTTTGGGCATTTTGGGAGGGAACACCATTTTGGGATGCGAGATGTATCTCTCTTTTGTGTTTTAGAATGTTTTGGACAAGTGCCAAACTTCTTGACTCATTCTTATCTAATAAATTTTAAGGTATAGCTTCTATCTTAAATATTGTCACTCTTGGCGCCACATTACTAAAAATAGCAAATAATTTGGGGACCAGCCCATTTTCATTGTAATCACCTTTTTAGGCTTGGTGGTCTGTGAGGTTAGTTTTTCAATCTGTGTTTAAGATTTATTAAAAATGAGGAGCCAGGCAGGTGTAGGGGTGGATTTCTGCAATCCCAGCATTCAGGAGACTGAAGCAGGAAAATTACCACAAATT